GACACAGAGAGAGAACATAAAAGAGGGAGCCAATATTGGTTTGAAGATAAAATTGAACACAAAGAAAGGTCTAGAGAACTACAAGACTGCCGCCAACTAACAATTTGAGCATTCATGGAAAGGCTACCATAAATGCTATTCCCAGATAGTGAGATCAACAACTAACTTATCCATGGAGCCCTCATCTAATACCTGTTGGAAACAGAAGCAAACACCCATACCTAAACACTGAGTCGAACTAGAGTCCAGACAAGACCAGGTTGCAGAAACACATAGAGACAGCTGTCCTGAACAAGGAGGAGCTAACAGGCCCCAGACTGATAGCTGGGAATCCAGCATGCGACTGACTCAGGCTCCCCTGAATATGGGTCTCAGCCAGAAGGAGTGAGCAGTCTAAGGGACCTCAGACAGTTGAGCCAGGTTGTATCCCTGGTGCACAAAAGGACCTTGCTAACACATCCCCCATGGTGGGATAACTGCCTTAACCTAGAGATAGGAGAGAAGCCCTAGTCCCTACTTCACATGACCTGTCAGATCTACATGACCTCAACTGGATGGCATTTCCCTACATATGGAATTGGGGTGGGGGGATGGGAGGGGAGGGTGGTTAGGGTTCATGTGAGAGGGCAGAGAGGGTAAAAGGGAGGGAAGGAGAGAGGGAGGGAGAGGGAACTGGGATCGACATGTAAAATAATAAATTAAATAAAAAAATGCTTTGACTCCAAAATTTACGTTCAAGGACAAGTTACTGGGGAAAAGGATTTCTATTTTTATTTCCACATAAAATGAAAAGCTGTGGATTCCTTCCAGACTAATGTGGTTTGATCAAGCCAGACCGCCTGAAACAGAGTACCAGGTGATCCTACATTCAAAACAGCTGGACAAAGCAGCCTTACAGACTACAGCCAGGATTTCTGCATCTTCTTAGAATCCCCCATGACAGCCCCTTACCAGCAGGAAGTAGCTTGGAAAGAACGATGCACAAATGCCCAAATATTGTCTATAAATGCTTGTTTTCATTTAAATAGACTTGGTTATATAAAAATAAATAAATAAAAAAAGAAAAGTCTAATGTTGTTCTCATTTGTTTGCTTTTTGATCTGGTGGGTTTTTTTCATACAGCTTTTAATAGTGATTTCTTGTTTGGTATAGTTTGCATTGTGCCATGATGCACTGGGAGCATTTCTTCTCTGCACAGGTGTATTTTGGGCTTTAAATATTTCTCATGTTTAGATGTCCATTTCTTTCAAAAAATTTGCAATTTTTTTCACCTATAATTTCATTGAACAGGCTTTCTGTACCTTAGGTTTTCTTCAGCTCCACTATAAAGTCTCATATGTGACCTCTTGTTCACATCTCAGAGTTCATGGACATTGCTCATTCATGTATTTATTTATTCTATATTAATTCTGAGTGTTCTATTTCTTTGATCATGTCCTCCATCTTCTACTTCTCTGTTCTGCTTGGTTAAGTCTCTTGGTGATGCTTGCTACTGATTGTCTATATACACACATTCACTTCTCCTGTCTGCATTTCCTGCTAATTCCTGCCTCAGCCTCCTAATGCTAGAGTTACAGGCATGTGGCACCATACTCAACACAACCCATTTTTCCTCGATGAGCAAAAGATCTGAATAGATATGCTTCATTTATAAAAATAAATAAATAAGTAAATAAATAAAGATTTTAAAGAAAGGCCAGAAGTACACAAACAGATGTATAATCATTTAGGAAATGCAAATTAATGCCTCAATGACACCAGGCATTGCAGTATATGTCTATGATTCAAGGATTTAGGAAGCTGGGGCATGAAGATTAAAAGTTCCAGGCTAGCTTCAGCTACATAAGAAAACCCCATCTCAAGAAAAAAAAATCAGTTCTGCTTGATTTTTAACTATTTAGAATGTTGGTCAGGATGTAAACAGTCTTTCATCCTGCCATAGTTCTGGTACATACTAGTGTGGTATGACATATTAGCTCCAGAAGGAAGGGATGATGTTTGCAGTTTAAAGAGTGCTTTTATATTACTTGGCTCACATAATCACCAAAAATTCTTAATTCTTAAAGTTACTTTTGAGTCAAGATTATGAAAAGAGAAAAATAAATACATTTTTAAGGTTAGTAATGCCAGCTTTGTATCTATGCCCTTTTAAAAAAAATTGTAAGGTGCCCTGACAAAGCTATGATAATTTTGGCATCTCCTGGAAATAACAATATGCATTATTTATCACTCTTTACTGTGTAATAGCTTATATTCTTACATCAACTATTAGGTAATATATATTTCTATATATTTCTGCTAAAATAGCAAGTTTTCAAAATCTTAATCTTTCTCTGAACTAAAATAAGTAGCCATCAAGAACAGCATCTATTTGCTAAGGTAATAGTTTGTAACTTGGTGTATTAAGACTGAACTCTCTTGTCTTTGTAAACAAATTAGTTTCCTTGGATTTAGTTTTGCCCACTAGTCTAACTGGTATCTACTTCTGTTTCAAAGATGCTGTTAAGCCTGTGAGAGGCAGGTCCTATACCCCAAGAAGCCATACTTCTGTTGAAAGTGAAGGGGTAAATTTCAAGTGATAATTTTGCATATCACTGGCCCAGCAGCGGTATGAGAGAGAGAAATGGTGGGTAAAATGTGATCAACATGCTGGTGAGATCCCAAGAGCTTTCCCAAGCATCCTTGTCTCCTTCACCCAGTTGTTTTAACTAGGCAAAGGCATACATAATCTTGGATTTCATTTAACATCACAAGTGCTAAAATTGTAGCTAGAAGGGTTCCATATAGATAGATCGATAGATAGATAGATAGATAGATAGATAGATAGATATAGAGATAGATAGATAGATCTTCCCACTTTCTTTTTCTTCCTTCCTTTCTCCCCACTCTCAGCAAGATCCCACATATCCTGGGCTGGCCTTGAACTCACTATGTAGCCAAAGGTTAGCTTGAAATTCTGATCCTCCAGCCTCTACCTGCTGAATTCAAAGTACAGGCATTCCATCAGCTGAGCTATATCTCCATCTCCAAAGATCATCTTGTGTTTTTTACAGATCATGACACAAAGTTTTCTTTCCTAGGAGAGGCTCATTTGGGATTGGTACCAGAAGATGGTCCAAGTGACTACTTCTTCTTTTAGTTATTTTTCCAGACAGCTTTGGAGTCTGTCCTAGAACTCACTCTGTAGACCTGTAGATAAGGCTGGTCTCAAACTCAAAGAGATCCTCTTGCCTCTGCCTCCTGAGTGCTGGGATTAAAGGCTTGTGCCACTACTGCCTGGCCAAAGTGACTTCTTAAGATTGCCAGTGATGGACAATTATAAAATGCTAAATGGAATTTAATTTTTTTAAATAAGCATTTACTTACAGGTTTCCTTTAAATGAGAAATATACTCAAGCCACTTGTGGAGGTACATACCTTTAAACTCAGCATCCAGGAGGCAGAGGCAGGCAGATCCCTAAGTTCGTGGCCAGTCTGTTCTACAAAGCAAGTTCTAGGACAGCCAGGGCTATACAGAGAAATCCTGTCTCAAAACGAAACAAAACAAAACAAAAAATCCAAAACAAACAAAAACTTAAAAAAACTGAGAGAAATATACTTATTAAAAAAATCAAACTGGTCTCTCTATCATTAATATACTTAGAGTTTAGTAGAGCAGGGGAGAAAAAAGCAAAATCATAGTACGGTATGAGCCATAAAATTCTATGAACATGTGTAAAAGAAATGTGAATTATGTGGCTAGAAAAAATAAGAAAGCATTTCTAAAAGTCAAAGAGATATTAAGACCAAGGCATAAATGCAAAAAGGGTGTGGTAACCCCATTTGCTATTTAGCCCCTACAGCAGTCAGTAGTCAGGAATAGCAGGAGAGGCTCTCAGCAAACCTATCAGTTCCAGGCATCCATCCACAGAAACATCTTAAAATGTCATGGTAAAGAGTTACATGAAAGTAGGAAAAGCTATAGGGGTTCTGAGTACTTGTATTTCTTCTTGTTGATTCTCTCTCATCATTTGAGTAGAGATACAGAACAAGGGGGTTACTTTATTCAACTCTTTTTGCCTGGATGTTGAAGACTGAACAAGCCCCCCCTCACCCTGCTTCAGTATTACCTGCAATCCACCAGGCCAGTGCCTTCAATAGTGCATGGTTTAGCAGAAGTGGAAAGACACAGGCACAGGTAATGGACACATGCAGTGGAAGCTAAGTGGAAGCATAAGAGGGAGATGGGAAGCAACTGCTTTTGTGAGGAGAATGATTCTGTGGTATTAGACACCATTCCCAACAGAAATGAGAAACACAAGGCCAGGGCTGGAATATAGACAAGAGTCCCTGTTTAGGAATGAGGGAGAAGTTCTGTGAACTATAGAGGAGAATTCTGGGGTAGAAGACACCTGGAACATAACTTAATGGCTTCTAAAGAGAATGGTTTTGGCCAGAGATATAGTTCAGGGTAGAAAATTTGCTTAACATGTACAAGTCCCTGGTTTAATCTTCATCATTATAGAAATAAAAATTGAAAAACAAAACAAAAGCCATGTGGTGGTGGTATACTAGTTTTGAAACTTCATCCCCTGATGCTTCTTTTTCAATACAGGGTTTCTCTGTGTAACTCTGGCTGTCCTGGAACTCTCTACAGACCAGGCTTGTCTTGAACTCACAGAGATCCATCTGCCTCTGCCTCTGCCTCCTGAGTGCTGGGATTAAAGGCATGAGCCACCACCACCTGGCTCCCCTAATGCTTCTTATTCATAAATCAAACACACATTTTTTAAAAATATAGGACAGTAATTTCTCTGGGATTCAATGATGACTTTGTGGCAACACACATTAAACTACAAATTATGAAGCTTACACAAACAATAAAATGTTCTGTTATCTATGTGTTTCTTTGCCTAAAAAGGTAAAAATTTCTACTCCCTTTAAAACTGCAGTCCAGGGACTAAAAAGTAATAGAATCAGAGTGATCACATTCCCACATGGTGGCCATGGTTGTCTCCTACCTTGCATTTTCTGTCCTTCGGCTTATGCACTGGTGCAAGTAGAGATACTCCTGAGGTGCACTGGTGGACAAGGCAGGCTGGATGTGGCTTGACACAGGGGGCTCAAAGGTGAATAAAGTGGGCTGGCTAGAGTGTGAAGGGACTGAGGACTTCCTTTCTCGGAGCAGGTGCTGACTGGAGCTGCTGAACTCAGCTGGAGAAGAGCGGGGACCATGACCGGCTGAAGAAAGGTTTCTTAGGGAGTCTGTGAAAAGAAGAAAAAGCTCTGTGAGTGAAATAAGGAAGGGAACCAGGTGGTGGCGACACAGGCCTTTAATTCCAGAATTTGAGAGGCAGGTGGATCTCTATAGGCATGAGTTCCAGGACAGCAGAGCTACACAGAGAAACCCTGTCTCATCCCCCTCCACTCCCCCTCCCAAAATCCCCAAATGATAAAACAACAAAAAATGAACAAAGGAAATATGGAGGGGGTAAGGTCCTTATCCTAAAGACAATAGTCAGAGGAAGAAAGTATTCTGGTGAGAGAGAACAATGTGGCTGTTACATTCTCTTCCTTTATATGCCCACTCAGTCCATCTTCCCAGGGAGGTAGGTTAGACTGCATGGCTATCTTGTCTGAATGGGAGATGAGTTACACCTCTGAACTTCTTAGGAGTAGCCTGAAAGCCAGGCTGTCATGATCCAGACCTGGTCTACCCCAGAGGGGTTTACCTATCCACCTCCAGGAGAGTGATGCTGCCATAGAAAAAACTAGATTCTGGCTGAGTGGTGGTGGTGCACAGCTTTAATCCCAGCACTGGGAAGGAAGAGGCAGCCAAATCTCTGTGAGTTCAAGGGCATCCTGGTCTGTCACACAGAGAAACATTGTCTTGGGGGTGGGGGAAGGTGAGAGAGAAAAGACAAGACTAGATGTGGGTGGGTGAGTACTATGCTTCCTTCTTGTTGTTAGCTCCTGTAGGAAGCAGATGGAGTCTGAAGTGAATGTATATTGTTGACATGGTCATGACCATGTCAGGACCTCAGTGAGTTTGACTCACAAGAATGGCAAAGTCTTCTTCAGGTGAGGCTTGAGGTATGGATGGCAAGGCTTTCCTGTGGTCTAAGTAATAGTGTTTATGAATAACTGACCAGTATGTGCAAAACTGGCTAGTACATGTAAACAAACAAACAAACAAAAACAAAAGACAAAAAAAAAACCCCTCAAAAATAAACCAAAAACTAAAAACCTCAGCTTCCTGAATGACTGCAACCTAAGACTGCTTCTCTACAGAGACCTCCTTACCAGACTGGCTAACCTCTCCTGCGTTGTACACAATAATCAGGGTTCAGTTTCTGGTTTGCAGGTGTCCATCAGAACGAACACAGCCCATCATATCCAAGCTTTCTGTATGTCTGTATTTTGTTTCTGGTTGGCCTGGAACTCATTATGTGATAAGTAAGTCTCTAACTCATAGAGATCTGCCTGTCTCTGCCTCCTGAATGCTGGGATCAAAGTTGTGTGTCACTATGCTTGGCTGGCTATCCTTTCTTCATGCTCATGTAACTCCAGTCAAGGTTTCTAGGACCAAAACCTGTAGGGCATGACAGGTTCTTGCTGTATTACCCCCATGGAAGCTTCTGGCTTTGCTAAACGAGACATTGCTTACCTAAGACTCATTGAAGCCCAGAACTGTGCCTTTCTGCAATAATGGTAAAAGCACAAATGAATGCTAAGCTGTTCCTGTAGACTAGACCCCTGCTCATCCTGCTTTTCCTCGATTTCCAAAGGCAGCTTTGTTCTTTGTTTCCCACTTTTCTCTTTCCACTGGTCCTTCTTTGTTTCTTTTTATCTCAAACTTTCCTCTGTTACATTAGAAAGGAAGTGAGGTATTTAAGGACAGATAAAGGCTTAGAGTACTATACCCCAAGCTCAGAGCATTATTCATTTGGCTGTCTCTTTAAGCTTAGTCCACATTTCCTCAGTCTGACCTACTTCCTGCTTTCTCTCCACACATAAGCAAAGCAGATGGAAGCATCCTCAGTCTCTGAGCATAGCAGCCTGTGTGTGTGTGTGTGTGTGTGTGTGTGTGTGTGTGTGTGTGTGAGAGAGAGAGAGAGAGAGAGAGAGAGAGAGAGAGATTCTTTGTTTCCACTTATACTGCCCCTTCACCCTGACTTTCATCTCTACACTTCTGGCTAGCTTATATGAAGACTTCAAGATCATACTCAGATATTACATTCCCACAAAAACCTTCCTGAATGCTTTTCCCCCTTTCTTTCTGGGCGCTGACAGGTTTCATCTCATGTTTCCTTTAGATCCATGGTCACTGTGCTTTCCTGCTCTTGGTTTCTGAGAAGTATGTCAGTGAGGTTATTGCTTATACAGTCCCAGCATTTACCTAATAAAGTCCTACACAGAAGGTTCTCAGCCCATACTTATATAAGAAAAACATTTAGTATTTTAAAATTCCAAGAATGAAACATGTTCTTGAGAAATAAAAGTATAAAGATATAAATAAGTGCAGGTGATGTGCTAGGTAGGGAGAAATATTTTGGGTATGATGGCTTTCTGGAGTTACTCAGATCCTACCAGAAGAGACAAGGTTCTTTAGCTACTCTTTGTTTTCTGACCTATTTCAGGCTGTACCAGCCAAATGGCCCAAGGCAGGATCACCAGCTTATTAATGCTCTACAGTACTAATTATTCTCTAGTCACTCCTAATACTGGAAAGGGCATCTTCTGTCAGGGCAGAAGAGAGAAAGCCAATGAGTCTCTGGGGAAAAACTGCTCTACAATAGCTGTATTGATCTCCAAAATGAATTCCTATAACAGGTCTCGTAGTGACCTGGATGTTTGTTAACAGAATCAATGCATTTATTATTCCATTAGATTTGTAAAATGAACTCTCTAATGGTGGATGAGAGAAGGTTTATACTAGGGACAGAGTAGTCATGGCACCAGGAGAGGAACACAAGTTGTTTTGCCAGAGAAGACACAGGGAAGGTATAAAAAGAAACCCTTTGATAAGCTTCTGGCTTCCTCTTGCTCTGTCTACATCTTCATTCCTCAGAATCTAGTTCTCGACCTTCCTATAACTTCCCTCTGATGCTAAAGCCTTTCCCTGGAGGATATTGCCTATTACCAAGCTTTTAATACCACCCAAGTAATGACAACTCTCACCCTTCAATCTCTAGCTCAGCCCCTACCTGCTGAGCTCTTCATTTATATGTTCTATCAGCTGGTTAACATCAGCAACCTAAGCCAATGTCCTCCTTAGTCCTGTGCTTTCTGTCTCATGGGAACATATCAACATCTCTTCCCATCAGTTGTCCAAGTCAGAAACCTAGTTATCATCTGTGACTTTGTTCTGCTTCTCAACAATCATGTCAGCCTGTCACTGCCTCACTTAGCAAAGGCTTCCTGTTCTCCTTAAATTGACTTACAGAGCTCTATCTCTTTTGATAACTATCTTCTTGTTTACTTATTCAACTGTGTTTCTTACCAATGCTCCTTGCACTTTAGAGGATTTTCAGGAACATACCAGTCTTTTCCTCATCATTAGGTTCCTTATTAGACTGAAAACTCAGTGAAGTCAGAGATTCCAGCACTTCCATAATAGCTGTGGCCTTGTGTCATGCCTACCGAATCATACAACTTAATATTTATTGACCAAACAAATAAAACACATCAGATAATAAAGTGCTACTTCTTCAGTAACAGTTACTGATTTCTCATTACCTTCAGAATAAAGACACCTTGATTTGACACTGAAGGGCATTTTGTCGTAACCTGTATATTTTGTCTGGTTACTCAGTGCCTCCCTTACCTTCTGCAAGGAATTATTGTTCTGTGTGTGCAAATAAAAGAAATGATCATCTTTGCCCTTGAAGCCCTTTGCCTTAAGCGTAGACTGGAGTCAGTTCTGTGACTCAGTAGATTTATATTTATTTGCAGTTATCTTGCCTCTCGAAATCTGTTTCCTTATTTATAATTCAACAAGGGAACTGGAAGACACAGACAATCTTTACTGCCTTTATTTACTTATTCATTTAGGTATGTTTGTGTTGGGAGCTGGATATGTATACTACCGTGCACATGAAGAGGTTAAAAGTGCCTACATATAGAGGATCTCTACATTGTGAGATCCTATATGATAGTGATATAAAAGCAAAACACCAATAAAACATCTCTGCCTGAATTTATGTGATTATCTTCTGGTGCCTGGCATTTTGGGAGTTGGCTTTCCTTTTATCATGTGGATCTGGAGGTGGGGTGGGATGGGGTAGAGTGGTGAAATCAGTCTGTCAAACTTGGCTTCAAGTGACTTTACTTGCTGAACCTTCTTACAGGTTTGAGAGAGACAATCTGGACAAGTGGGGTATACATAAGCTTACATGTTGCAGGTATATGATACATGTTCCAATTGTCTTTGTCACCAGTACCTATAACTATTGTATCCCATTAGATCAGCCAGTGTTTCCATGTAAGGGTCTGGAAAAGTTCTGTCAAAGCTGGCTTACTCCAACCCTTGCTGAAATCAAATTTCTGTTGGCAACTTTAAAAGATCTCTTTCTGGCCTGATAGGGTAGTTCATACCTGTAACCGCACTTTGGAGTCCTAGACAGAACTACTGCAGTTCTGAGGCCAGCAAGCACTACAATGTGAGTTCTAGGCTTGCCTGTCTTACAAAGTGAGATCTTGCCTTAAAAACAAAACAAAACATCAAAGAGAGATCTCTACGTTGTGGTTGGGGAGATGGCTCAAGGATTAAGAATGCTTGTTATTCTAGTAGAGGACTAGGATTTGGTTCCCAGAACGACATAGCTGCTCACAATTATCTCTGCCTTCAGTTTCAGGGGATCTGTTATCTTTGTGCATCAGATACTCACAATGTGCACACACATATGTCCCCAACTATTATATTGTATATGTATTTGTCATTTATACTCATGGATAAGTGTAGTCCTCATCCTTCATCAAGGAAATTTCTCTTTGCAACAAGTGGAGACTATTATAGAAAACCACAGCCAGTAAAAATACAGAGTTGTGGAGCCTAGTCTCAAGGGCTGTAAGTACAATACAACTTCTGTACCTAAGGCTTAGGAATCATTGCAGAAGCAGGGAGGGGGAAATTTTAAGAGCCAAAGGAACAGAGAATTTGTTGTTAAATTATCTCCTAGGAATGTCAGAAGCTACATTTATTAAATTTCACCAACATGACTGCCTAAATAGGAGCTGAACAAGAAAAACAACAATAGGCATGC